TCTTGATTGATTAGTTAACTAGTACACTTTGTATATTGAACGGATACCAAAGAGGAGAAGTTCGTTTTCTACTGATCGTTGTAAACGAACTAAGCCTCTGTTTATTGTTGTGTACTTTTAACCCGTAAGATATAAATAGGCATGTGCATGCAATAAATATTACTTTGATTCACTTGGGTGAGATTCAGCTTACTGGATCAATATACTTACTGTTTTGGTTATTATTATTGTATGTATGATGTGTTTTTAGAATACTTACGGCCACCATGTGCAATAGTTTGATGATATCTCCGAGATGAGCTCATGAAGGATTATTATGTTAAATCTGGCCAGTGGAATTTATCTCATCATAATAATAATGTTATGAGTGGTACTAGTCTCGGTTATAGATGTCGATTAATTTAATTGTCAGTAATTAGATTAATTGATGAACATTATATCTTAAACACGGGGAGATAAATTGAGTAATTATTGTTGGTGCCCTCGAATATAATTTGGGAATAAAATTGGGAGTGTACTCAATAATATTACTTTAGTAGAATGGATGTATTATTCCTATTTGGGTTTGGTAGGCATGGCCTATAGTATAATCCTAATAGGAGAAGTCCAATTTAATACCTCCTTAGGGTCCCTGTTGTAGTATATAAATACATCAAATCTCTTGGGATTCGGAGAGTAGATAATTATTCAGATAGAGATGCATACACGCCGCCTCCATATGATATCTTCTCTCTCTTTTGTTATCTTCTTCTTCTCCAAGTAATCCAAGTAGATATATCTCGGATTTCATTGCCCACCAAGGTCACACAATAGAAGATCTAAGGTGATCGAGCGATTTATAGATATTTATCAAACCCGTAAAATATATATATTCAACCCCGTAATATTTCTGTAATTCGTGGGGTTGTCCGTTTTTTTTATAAAAAGCGAAAAACATGTCCACCAGATGGCCTGAAATCAACCGGCGATCACATGGTGTTTGGCACTTTCTGGCGACCCTCCGATGACTTTTTGGCGACCACCGGCCAAGGCGGCCAGGCAGAAAAACTCCGGCAAGCCGCTAGGTCGCAGCCCAGGATGCCTGGCAGGCCCACACAAGCCCAGCGATGGAGGAGGACCGACGCTCCACAGCCTAGCATGGAGAAGCCCGTGTCGCGTAGCTCAGTAAGGAGAAAAACCAACAAGCGTGGAGGCTCAGGGAAAATGGAAAATAGTGCGCAGGACGTGCAACCCGCGTCCAGCTCATGCGCGGCCCGCGTCCCTCACAGCTCTCAGTCCGCGCCAGCCCGCATCTCCTCTGACTAGCAGCTCGCGCACGGCCCGCGAGAAGCCCAATGGAGCTTGTTTGCTCCATCCCATCACTGAGGCCCAATGGCATGCTCTATCGAGGCCCACCAGCATGGACAACGGCCCAGAACGTGCCAGTGCGTGGCCCAGCAACGTGTAGCGGCCCAGACTGCACAGAACCGGCCCATCTCACTCCTACTCGATCCAGGGACGATCCATCTGGTTCGAGGAGCTTGGTGATTCCAAGACGAGATTGAGACGGCTCGACATGGTCGGTGAACGATCCAGTGATTAGTAGGACAAGCCCGGTTGCCCAACGGACTATGTTTCAGACGATCTCCAACAACGGAAATCAGAAACGTCGCAGAGACGACAAAAATATTAAACGATAAGCGTTAAACCCTCGCGTCTAGTTCTGCTGGTCTTAGGGTTTAATTCGTAGATAGTTCATGACATGCATAATTTCGAGATTTGAACCGGTCCAAATAGACATATCCCAGCACGACCTCGCAGGCGCGCAGTCGTGACCAGGCGCGCAGGCCGTGCCCAGACGCGACTAGGTCGACCCGCAACTAGTCGGTCTCGTCGAAGCGTGAAGGCAACAACGCGTAGGTGCGCCACCCGCATCTTGCGACTGGTGCCAGTGTGGTCGGACACGAGCTACCGCAGCCGGGGAGCCTAACCCCTAGCCGTTGAGCCACTTTTGAGCTGTCTGGTCAGTTTTTCGTGTCGAATTATATTTTAGCCTTGTGAATATTTTTCTGAGCCTTTTTCCAAGAGTTCTTAGATTCACTAAATTGTAAAAAAAAAATGCTTAATCAATAAAGTGATTGATTAAGTCAAAGTCAATTTTTTTGAGTCTAAGGGCAAGTTATTTATAAGAGTATTCTTGTCTTAATTAAATTGTAGATTTCGAGGAGTCAAGCCTCGAGCGACTGTGTGCAACATCTACAATTTTGTCGTCATCCGATCTGAGGTGGGTGTTGCTAAACTCTATGTTTTTCTTCTTTATAATCGCGTGGTTTCATGGTTGATGTATGCATATGACTATATGTTGTGTGATGAACTAGAATGGGTGAATTTGACTGTGTGAAATTTGTTGTGTGAATCTGGCTGTGTGACGTAATGACTGTGTGACGAAAGGACTGAGGGGTGCAATGCAATGGTTGTGTGATGCACCGACTGTGTGGCACCTTCAGTGTGAGCTCATGGGACTATGTGAAGGCGAGCCGACAGTAAAAATGTGTACACATGAGGAGAATTGATGGACTGAGAAGTTGAGAAGTTGAATGGTTGAATTTCTTTGTGGGTTATTATATATTGAAGGTATGTAATCTGTTATTATGATGAATAACTGTATAGTTCCCACGGTGAGCTTGTTGTTTGCTCACCCCCATATATTACCATTGTTTGCTAAGATGCTCGACCCTATCTACATGAAAGTAATTGATCAATACATGCATTCCACCAATAAAGCTGCAACTTTTGACAGAAAGTCTTCCCTGCTATTTATCGTACGTGGAATCTGTATGATATCCTAGGACTTGAACCCTTTATCTAGAGCAAGCACCTCGGCTATATACATTTGCATCATGTCCTCCTTGGCTTCATATTCACCTCTAATTTGTTCCACTATCAACTGCGTGTCAGAATGAATGACAACTTTTCTACCTCTCGCCCCCGCAGTGAATTACAAAAATTTGAGAAACGCCTCACACTCCGCCTCATTGTTCAAAGCCCTATATGATAGCTTTCTCACAGACTCCAACGACTTCAGGTGTTAATATAAGTATCCCAATACTCGCACCTGATACTGTTGAAGCCCCATCCACAAAGACCTTCCATGTACAAACATCTACCTCCATCTTACCTTCTTGGATGAAGTCGGACAATGCTTGAACTTTTATCGACCGCCTTGGTTCGAACTCTAGATTGTACTCTCCTAGCTCCACGACCCACTTAACAATTTCAGCTAAATTAAACAGTCATCCCAGAGTCTCCGAAAGAGAAAAGTTAGTCCGCACCATGACAATATTTGATAGAAAATAAGGCCTCAACTTTCGAGCTATTACTATTAGGCTAGAGCCGCTTTCTCGATCTCTGCATACTTATTTGATTTAGGGTGTTTGGATATGGATTTGGTTGGTTTTTTTGTTAACCATGGTTAATTTTATAAAGCGTAGTATGATTAGTTGTTATTGAGAATTTAAGTTTAAATTAAATCAATTTTTAAAATAAAATAATTAAAGGTGATTTGATGTAAAGTAGGAGAAAAGATTGGAAGTGATGATTAGTTAAAATTATGTGAGTTGATGAATAGTGAATTAAAATTGATGTGATTGTGTAAAAATAATTGGTTGATATTATTTAATTATATTGATGAAGATAATAAAATTGAGTTAAATTTACATTTTAATTGGTTTTTTGGTTTTTTACTAGTCAAGTTTGTATCCATTCACAACCTAAATTATTGTTGCTCCTCAAATGAAATAGCACTTGTTACAAGTGAAATATGGATTTAAAAAAATAATAATAATGATGGAAATGCAAGCCTAAATAACCTAAGCTATATGAACGAATTTTGAAAAGCTAATAGAAAAGACTAACTAAACTTCTTGCTATATATTATGCATGTTATATTTTTAATCAACATTAATACGTATGTAGTTAAACTTAAACACCGATTCACTAATTAAGTATTAAAACAGATAACATGTTTGGATTGATGTGTAGGTAGATAATTCACTAGCCATTTTAGCATTTGGAGTTTAAATTAACTGTATTAGCTCAAGTTTAAAGAATATGGTGAGATGCTCTAACATATTCAGGTTCAGCTTATTATTGACTGTGTCAGATAGTTGGGCCCAATCCAACTCGCTCTAAGAGCACCCACAATGCATCGGGTCTCTTAATAAAATATCCTATTCCACATAGGAAATAGATTTAGTCTATTAAAAAATGTCTCCCAATGCAATTGAAGTTGGACATGGTCTAGCTTATGTGACAATAAAAAATAGAGACCAAGTCCACACTTGGGTCTATTTTGGACCCAAGTACAAACCCAAGCACTCATCATTTATTCATCATTTAAATTTTCTTTTAGTAAATGAAATATATTAGAGCATTTTATTGATTGACATGTATGTTAGATCTAGTATTTTTTTTTTATTTTTTTTTTTTTGCATTGGATAGCTTTTGAGTTTTTTTACTTGGGTTTATCCATGTCATTTAGGACTTAAGTCTATTTATATGTCACATTAGTACAATTAGACCCAATACATTGTGGATGTTGTTAGTCCCCTATATTTTTATTTTATTTTTTCTAAAGAAAGATGTAAAATATTAGTTTTAGAGAGGCTCCAGCCCCTCAAGGGCAAGCTTCTAAGCCAATATATGCAAAATAACTACGGTAGCACGTTGAGATATGCAACATCCAAAATGACAAAAGCAATCTAAATCATAACTACACTTAAACATCCATTCATTCAAGTTCAACAACAAACAAGATTGCTAGATGCAACCCAATATTACAATCAAGATCCGACTTAAAACACCTGTTGAAATGATAGCAGATACAAATCCATCCTCTAAATTCATCTCCAACATAAAAATGCACATAAAATGGAAAGCGAATAAAACATTCAACACTTTCACCCAGTAAACACTAACTAAGAAAGTAGTACTAGCTCAATGTAAAATCTCAAAACTCGAGATCACATTTGCAGCCGCCTGCTAGATATGCTGAAGGAGCTGACTTTCAATGGGGTAGCCACCACAAGTGGAGCCTCAGGTGAGTCGCTCACCGCGAATTTCTCGTGCATGAAACGGCTTTCCACAATCGAGTCATCCTTCAGGACTATCTTGTAGCAATAGCAGCTCTTTAAGCCCACTTGATTTTGGTAGCACTCGTGGGATCCGTCCTTCACCTGCTGGAAGTTCCATATCACACTAAACTTACCCACAGTGGCAACCAGGTGACGCTCCTGCTTCCCGCTCTCAGTGACCTAAGCAATTCATTAAGCAAGATACTAGGAATTAGTTAATATTAATTTCCAGAGTATACAGAGAAGATGTCGAAAAACTAAACTCATACACCCTAGTAATGATTTCCTAAAGCACCATAAGCAATCCTAGAAAGAACTATAGAAATAGAGTGGCATTAAACCCATTAATATTGCATGTTTTAACAGAATGTATGACCTTGAAATGATATTTTTCAAACTTTCCTCGTTCAGTTTCATTTGTTCAGGTTCCTTATTATTACACAAGGCTTCTAAGCTGCAGCAGCTATAGATAAAGTAGAATGGGAAGGAATACACTGGATTCAACCATCAACCTTACTCTATAAAGTTACTAGTACCAACTTCTTTTAAATAGTTTATTACATCAATTTATGTGCCATTTTATTATCTGACAACCTCATCGCATGCATAAGAGAATCTCTTCTGTGTAAAAAGAGGTCCAATTTCATTTCTTCCACCAGCACTATACAGTTGAAGAAAATCATTACATCTAGGCCTCATATCAAAGCCCCCGTGTCAATTTGATCATTTAGCCACATATTTAGCATAGATTCAAATGTTCCAAATTAACTAGGTTCGTACCAAAGCCCCCGTGTCAATCTAATCATTTAGCCGCATATTTTCCACACGTTCAAATGTTTCAAATTAACTAAAGAGTAAAGACAACTTCCCCAGTCTGTCCTTTGGGTTATAAAGCTATTCCGTAAAATTGAATGCTAGGACGATGTCACTGAAAAATGATTTACATAGGATTCATTTCAACAAAACATCAAAAGTGAAATGCCAATAATTGCATCTAATTAGGGACAGTGACAGATGCATAGATGAATGCTATAATACCGAAAGGTATGTGGATTAAAAATAAAAAGGAACAAAATGACAATGTATCTTTTGAAATTGCACTGCTTCAGCATAACTTTTTGGTTCAAAATATCACAGAAAATGAGTATGGTAGGTAGCTAATTCCTAGATCAAGAAGCAAAATGAGAATGGTAGGCAGCTATTTCCTGAATCAAGAAACAACCAGCAAATCGATCCCAGATACAGCATTTTTCAGTTGACAAGCCACATAGGGTGAAGAATAAGATCTTTAGAGATCAGATCGCAAGAGAGTTCCAGTTACATTCTCATCTACTTCCTTAAAAGGGCTCAAGAATCCTATTCAAACCAAGGGCTGTTTAAGTTCTCATGGATGTATAAAAAACAGTGAGCGAACCAACATTATTTTATCGGATGTTCCCCGAAGGGACAGCGAACCAACATTATTTTAATGCATTCAAAATGTTCTTAAGTAACTAAAGGCAACTATCAAACTAAAGGCAACTTCAGACACCAAGGCATTGCTTCCTAGACAGTCCATATGGTCATTAGTCCTCTTTGCCATCAATTATCATTTCAATTCACTTTTCCTAACTGAATCTTTTGCCAATAAATACAAAAAACAGCTGGGAGACAATAATTGATTATCGAGCCTTGAAGAATCAGCCAATGATTTAGTATGGAAAGCAAACAAAACTGTGGGAACTTGTACAGATTTAATTTTATTAAGAACCTTTTGCTTATCTCATATACCAATTGCACGATCTCAAAGCATGCCACAATAATCAAAACATCTACAAACATCCTCTTTAAAGCCACAAACAAATATGAAGTCTCCATGCAGAAAAACAAAACCAGTGAAAGAAGAATCACATTAGACATAACAAGAAAAAGTAAAAGTAGCTAAGGGAAGTTAATATCACAACATAACAGAAAAAAAAAACATGCAGTTATATTTAAAAATTAGAAAAGAAATTATGCCACTGCTACACATACCCACGAGAACTGAGCATTACGAAACTTGTTAGCTCCAGCCATATGTGAATCCAAGGGATTTAGCTTTAATAGTCTGGGAGCCGAGATCCTATTCCCCATACGGCCAGCAAAACCAGTCTTTGTATTCCCATCTTTATCCGTGAACAGACTACATATGAGAATCAAGTACGTATCAGTAGTTCCCAAAATCCACTTCCCGTCATAGGTAACATCAACATGAGTAATAGGCGAACCAAGGCCTGGGAAAGCAGTCTTGGCCTGCCTCATGGAGCTCGTCGAGTACAATCTAATCTTTCCATCAAGCGACCCCACCACAATCGACCCATCCCCAGTGGCTGCAAAACACTGGAAATTCGTCCCCCTTGAAAACTGGTGCCCTTGAGTCCAGTTCAAAACAGGAGTGCTCTCATTCACAATATTCTGGACCATCCCCCTCCGATCACGCATGTCCCACCTGCACAGCCTATTGTCATCCAATCCCAGGAAAGTCGATCCTGTGGGGTCCATCTGAGCCCCTTTGCTGTCGTTTGTGATATCCCTCATCGAGATGTCAGCGCCATCTTTCTCAAACTTCCATTCGCTAACAACTCTTCCGGTTTCAATGTCTAGCTGGTGCAGGGCACTCGAATGTGGTTTCCCATCATCCATGGGGCTCATGAGGAGCATGTTAGTCTCGGCCTTCATAAGAAGGGCCTTTCTTGGGGTCAAGTAGCTGGAGCCGGCACCTGTGCCTCTCCTCGAACCCAATTTGCCGTCCCCATCGAAGGTGACACATATGCCCTTCCCCTGAATCCCATGACTATAGTTCCTGACGACCTGAATGCCCGAGTTGCTAACCAGGAAACTGTTGTCCAGAGCACCTAAGGCCAAGCTCTGAATGGCCGCACCATCAGCGGCAGCCTCCTCTAACTCCTCGGTCAAGTCATGGCCCACCCTTTTTACGGGGGTTTTGAAGGGAGGAGTCCTCGTCAGACTCTCCTCTGCATCCTCCCACATGGAATCATCAGCGGCCTGGGGGTTGGCCCACCCGATGAAGTCCTTCCCGTAGACCTTCAGCTTGTTCTCGTCATTAGCTTCATACCCATGAGTGTTTTCGAACAGGCAATCCTGATATTTCCTGGTGAAACCCTCCCACTCTTCAAGGCTGGAGAACTTCACCGCCCAGACACCGTTTGAGACAAAATCCACCCGCCTCTGTTCCTTGAACGCCTTCAACTGCAGATTTTCGTCGACCTTGGCCCTCACCTTCGACCCAATTTTCAGAACCCACCACGAGTTCGGGTCAGATCCTCCTTCATTCTCAGAATAATCACCACCAGCATCATCATCCTCTTCGTTACCACCGTTCGTCTTAACAAAGACATATGGCGCGAGCTTCTCGGAGACGACCCATTTGGAGGTCGTGGTGTGGCCGCCTACGTGGAGGTATAGCTTCACGGCGTTCTTCGGGTTAATGTTGTTGCTACTGTACTTGAGTTTGAGAGCCTTCAGCCTGGCTTCAACCTCATCGAGGGACGACGGCATTTTGGGATCGGCGCGTTTGCGGTCGGAGGGATGGGAAGAGGGGGTACCATATAATTCTTCGGATTCGGATTCTTGGTGGGTCGTTTCCTGGGATTCGGAATCGGATTCGTCGGTGTCGGAGAGATCCAGATCTTCACGGCTGTGGTTGGCGCCCATTACGACAGCGTATTGTGAGGAAGTGGTGGAGACGGAAATGAATGAGAGAGAAAGAGAGAGTGGAGCGGGAATTTGAATGTTTTGAAATAGATTTTCTAGGGTTCTCTCGGACGAAATGCTCATCTATGGGCGGATGCTAATTTTTTACACTAGAGTGTGATCGTGCATATGTATTTTTTAGATTTTATTTATATTATATGTTAAAAAGTTCATCAACAAAAAAGTTATCATACAAGGGCGTTACTATTTACCGCCCCCTTATTACTAGTCACCGTCCCTCTTGGACGATTTTGCCCTTCTCATTCGCACAATGTCCAGCAGCTCAGAGGTATTTTTTTTTCTGTCTGGCCGAAAAAGTGCCACGCAACCGGTGGTGTCCGGCCGACCGGACCGGACGGCTTAACACGCGTCCGGCCGGTTCGACCGGACACACCCTTGGCCGTGCGGTATTGCCGGTCGTACGTACCGGTGGTTGTACTAACGGACCGGTCGTACGGCCCACTTGGTGTCCGGCCGCGACGACCGGTTGGAACCTGGTTCGGCCGGTCCGACCGGTCGGACATAATTTTTTTTTTATTTTTTTTATTTTTTTTATTTTTTTTATTATTTTCAAATGCTTTAAAATTATTAAATATGTACATTCAGGTGTCTTTAGAAGATTTTAGAGGAGATGGTATTGATTACCGTTCCGCTTTCAATATAACTACGCTGTTTATTAGTGATGAGGAGACTATTAAGGATGCAAAAAGTACGGCAATTCTGAATGGTTTCTTTTTGACTATTTCGAAACACAAAAAACCCGGAAGGCTGAAGATCTTGAAGTGCCATCGAGGCGAACGGTATAGAGGCAAAAACGTAGATATGAACAAAGTTGTTTCTAGACAGTCAAAAACGAAAGCGTGTCAGTGCCCTTTTGAGATACAAGTAAAGCGTGTTGCCAGATCGACATACTGGATGATCCACACGAATCAAGACGAAACGAAGGGATATCATAATCATTCATTTGTTGTGTATCCTGAGGGCCATCGACAGTCGAGCGGCATAAGTCAGTCATTAAAAATAATTATTCGTGATATGACTGTTGCGCATGTGACACCAGCAAATATTTTGGCCACCGTCCAGGACAAAAATCCACACGACCATGCTAATCGGCGACATATATATAACTATAGAGACTGGTTGCGTAAGGAAAGTTTTGAGGGTAGGGACGTTCCTACCCAACTTCTACATTTGGCAAGCAGCAGCAACTATATAGTTTATACAAATGCGCTGACACACATATTCATGGCCCATCCTGATTCAGTGAGTCTATTCTGGACTTATTATTGGTTTGTCGGCATAGATTCGACGCACAAAACCAACAGATATTTTAAATTTACATATATGTTATTAGTATTAATTTAAATTTGTATTTTGGATTAAATTTTATGTGATTATAATTTATTTCTTTTGGTCTCATTTTAATAGGTACAAGATGCCGTTGGTCGAGATGATTGGCATGACGCCGTGCAACAATAACTTTTTAATTGCGTATGCCCTCATGAAGGACGAGAAAGAGGCCAGTTATGATTGGGTTCTCGACAAGTTGAGACTTCTCATAGGCTATCCGGTAAGAATTTATATGAAGTACATGATTAATTTTATTAGTATATAAACGTACTTTGTGCAATATGGTAAAAAAATTTGAGGTTTTTTTTTGCGTGTCTCACTAATTTTTGACGCTGCTCAGGCGCATCCTAATGCGGTTGTCAGTGACAGAGAGTTGGGCTTATTGACTCCTATTAGGAAGCATTTTCCCCATTCTGCCCACTTACTCTGCACGTGACACATCAACAAGGATGTGGAAAACAAAGTGTACAACTTGTTTGGGAAAGATAAAAATTTATCTGAGAGGTTCTTGCGCGGTCGGTGGAAGTCGATTATGGATGCCAGTACGTCGGATGGGTACGACGCTGCCGTAGCTCAATTGAATGCAAAATACGGGAATGATTCAAAACTGGTACAATATCTCGAGCAGACGTGGCTAGGCCACAAGGAGAAGTTTGTGAAAGCCTGGACGAACCAAGTAACACATTTTGGCAACACAACTACCTGTAGGGTGGAAAGTGCCCACTCTGTGTTGAAGCAGTGGCTTCGCACGTCGACTGGCGCGCTAGATACAGTGTGGCATAAGATTGATAAGGAGATCGAGTCTCAATTGACTGAAACCTGAAAAACGAAATGTGTCATTTTATTACTTATGAAAAAACGAAATAATTATGTAAGTAATTTATATTATATTATATAAGTATATTATATTATCATTGTGTATATTATATAAGTATAGTATATTATATTATAATTTCTTATATTATACTACATACGTGTAGTATATTATATTATAATTTGTTATATTATATTATATAAGTATATTATATTATAATTTGTTATATATAACAAATTGTTTTGTAATGTATTAACAGGACAGCACTTGAGTCTTCGAGACTTAGGAAGAGTACGGCGTATACGGGATTGGCTTTCGCGTGCTTGACATTGAGAGTCTCGCATTACTGTCTGAATTTATTGAACGATGAGCTAACAAGGTTGCGAGACTTGAGCTATGAAGTTTACTTGCGCTGCGGCTGTTTATTTCCTACCACACATGGAATTCCTTGTGCATGTACGCTTCGTACAGCACATGATTCTAAAATGGCGATTGGTATTGACATGATCCACAAGTTCTGGAAGACACTAGAGATGTTAGAACCAGGTAATTTGTGGTTAATGTTTATTTATAATTTTCTACTTTCTCATTCATTTTAAATTACAAATTAAAGTATATTACTTTGTTTAATTGTTTCAATTTTTTGATCGTATACTTTTAGGGACAAATCACCAGAGCCAACATAATCAGGGTGCCTGGACAGATGTTGAGTTTTTTCGGACGCTTGCCAAAGAGGTTGAAGCGAGCGATCCTGCAACGATGCGGTACTGCAATAACCTCATTTACGGTCAGCTTTACCCGGACCAACAAGCATATGCACAACCAGAGGTTAAGTAAAATACGAGAGGTCGTCCCAAAAAAACTTATTCTACTGGTACCGAGACAGATATATTTAGCTTTAAGTACAACAACAGTGTTCTATGGCATATGTTGGACTACGTAGTGAGCTACTTGAATGTGAAAGCAGATGGGAACTGCGGATGGCAGGTCATCGCGAGTTACATTTACGGGGACCAGGAGATGTGACAACTCGTACGAGAGAACGTTGCCAATGAGATTTACAGCCACTGTGCCTTGTACGAGTACATCTATTACAGGGATATCGACACGGCACTCGCTCGGATAAGGTGGGATGGGGGCGCTTTTTATTTTTATTATTATTATTTTGCTAATATTTATATTTTATATTTATTTTTCTTTTATATTATAATTATTATTCAAATGCTAATATTTTAATTTTATAAAGTGGGACGGGGGTGCTTGTGGCACGAATCACTGGATGGACACTCCAACCGACCTCTACCCTGTTGCAACCCTATTTAATGTGGTTGTCGTTCTTTTAGGCTCTGGTCGCGATGGTCGTATGCCCAACCAGTTCAGCTGCACAGTATTGCCGCTCGCTGCAGCATCAACGAGCACAAGGCCACGCCATGAGATTTGCATATGTCATCTTGGTAGCTACGCACACTACATTCGGTTAGATTTGACTCCGGATTGTCTATTACCGCCTATTCATAGTATGTGGTTCAGACACCGAACTTCTTCGGTGGAGAATTGGGAGAATCAGTACCAGTCTAGGTTGCAATTATGGTTTGATGCTCAAAATAACCCCTGATGTATGACATATTTTCTTCCATTCGATGTTCAGTTTTATGTTGTTGGGATCTTTAAAAAGATTATGTTTTTTTCATTATATGCTTTCATTTTATTCTTGTTTAAAAAAAAAAAAAAAAAGATGTCGCGCGTAGAGTGGGGTGACACGACTCGTGTGCCAAGTGACACGAGTCGTGTGATGTCACACGACCCGTGTCACACTGTCACACGAGTCGTGTGACAGTAGAGAAAAATGTCGAACCGGCTACGGCTTTTTCACACGACTCGTGTGCGTAGTGACACGGGTCGTGTTAGCTCACACCACTCGTGTCAGTTTGTCACTCGAGTCGTGTGACTCATGAGAAAAATGTCGAATTGGCTACAACTTTTTCACACGACTCGTGTGCGTAGTGACATGGGTCGTGTGACATCACACGACTCGTGTCATCTTGTCACACGAGTCATGTGACTCATGAGAAAAATGTCGAATTAACTACGGCTTTTTCGCACGACTCGTGTAAAAAAGTGACACGAGTCGTGTGACCTCACACGACCCGTGTGACCCTATCGTGTGATGGGTCGTGTGGACCTGAAAGTATGTCGAAAATTGAATGTTTTTTTCACACGACTCGTGTCACCGGGTCACACTAGTCGTGTGGGATGAGAAGAATGGAGAATTAGCCACGATTTTTTCACACGATTCGTGTGCCTAGTTGACGTTATTACAAATTCGTCT